CCGCGGGCACCACTGGCGTTAGAAGTCTTAGCTCTCAGGGCTGGTTTTCACGTGAGGGTCAGGTCGACACCTGACCGAAGATAATGAACAAGAAGAACCCGTTTTCCTAAAAATAGTCTCTGCCGAACGGGCCGTGTTGTGTGAACAGCACAAGCATTCTAGGGAAAGCTCCGTTTCTGACGAGTTTGGGGGAAGACCCCAAACCCTCCTGAATCTCAGCCTAGGACAGCCCGTGGGGCCAAGGATGGCCATGTTCCCACGTGGACTTCGCTAGATCCCGCTGTGTGGCTGAGGATCTCGCAGGGCTGCTCTGCTGGAGCCCATCATGCTGGGCTGAAACCCGGCTCGGCTGCTGAGCAGCCACGTGGCGATGTCAGTTTACACGTCGAAGTCCTAACCCCCGGCGTGATGGTGTTGGGGGGTGAGGCCTCTGGGTGTGACGAGGTTTAGACGAGGCCATGAGGGTGGGCCCCCTGGTGGGGTTAGCGCCCTTATGAGAAGAGACACCAGAGAGCTTGGTCCCTCTCTCTCTGCCACGTGAGGGCACAGCAAGAAGGTGGCCATCTGCAAGCCAGGAAGAGAGACCTCGCCAGGAGCCGACCACGCTGGCGGCCCGATGTCGGGCCCGCAGCCTCCAGAAGGCGAGGAAGCACCGCTCAGCTGTCGAGGGCCCCAGCCCCTGCGCTGTGGTGAGGAGGCCCAAGACGCTCTGGGGGCCTCGGTGTCCCCATCTGCAAGATGGGGAACCAAATGCCCATCTCACCTTGTGAGGCTTCGAGAAAGACTAACATCTGTGACGTATGCAGGGCAGAGCGCCCACACCGCAGGCCACCCGCACACGGTGGCTGCTACTCTCGTCAGACCACAAACGGGACAGGGGTTCAGGATACCTCAGGCCACACGCGTCACACAAGCGAAGGACACAGCCTCACCTCCAGGGTTTTCGGTCAGATGTGGTCATCTCTGGCACTCCCGCGGGACACTGCGGGAAAGCCCTATAGAGCAGGGGTCCCCAACTCCTGGGCCGCGGACCGGTACGAGTCCATGGCCTGTTGGGAACCGGGCCGCAAAGCAGGTGAGCGGCGGGAGAGCCAGCAAAGCATCATCTGCCTCTGCAGCCGCTCCCAGCGCCAGCATCTCCGCCTCAGCTCCGCTTCACACCCTCAGGCGTTCGATTCTCACAGGAGCACCGGTCCCTGGGGCCACAAAGGTTGGGGACGGCTGCCCTAGAGGGCGAGGCCCCTGGCGGAGCAGGAGGCAAGAACCCGTCAGCATCCGCACCTCCCAGCCCAACACACACCTGTCTCGGTGCCGGAGCGCGGGCGGCCCCTGGTGGTGAAGAAGGAGATGCGCTTTGTTTTAAGTCCGTCTTCGTTTCTGGAGGGAGGAAGAAACGTCGGCATCTGAGGAAGGCTTAACGAAGACCTCGGGATGGGGGCTGTGACCGCATTAGGCCGAGGCACGCAGAAATAAGGGGGAAACTTCATCAGCAAGGTGTGGGGCCCCCCTGCAGCTGACGTGTCAGCGTCGACGGCCACGACCTGCTGATGGCACCCACTGTGCTCAGAGCGTTTTGGGGGAAAACTGTCCGGAGAAAAACTGTCGAATGCAGGTGTGACGGGCGGTTCCATGCCTGAGCTTTTCCACTCCGGGCAGGGGTGGGCGTTTCTGTGCCCAGCCCAACAGCCATTACCTTTTGGGGTGCTCTCAGGGGAGCTCTGGTTGGGGTGTAGGCTCCGTGAGGTGCCACCGAAGTGGCCTTCATGTGAACCAGGGTGGTTGGTCCCCAGGGCTCAAGGGCCGGCTAGGCTCATGCCCAGATTTTCTCCTTTTATGAAAAGACCTTGGGTAGGGGACCCTTTTATTTAATCTGTATGCATATGGCTTCGCGATTGGCAAAACCTTTTGCACAGATGACCGGGTGGGCTGAAGTGAGAACATTCTCCACCTTTGAGAGTTAGAAATGCAGGGGCACGGCCTCCCGTCCTCGAAATTCATACGCTAAAGTCTTAGCCCCGGGGCCCTCAGAATGGGACTATATTTAGGGACAAGGTCTTTACAGAGGTGATTCAGTAACACGAGGGTGACCCTAATCCAGTGACCAGTATTCTTATAAGAGGAGATCAGGGCACAGACTCTCCCAGAGGGACGACCCTGTGAGGACCAGGGCGAAGGTGACCAGCACATGACAAGGACAGAGGCCTCAGAACAGACCGGCTCTGTCAACGCCTCGATCAGGGACCTCCAGCCTCCAGACTGCAAGGAAAGAAACGTCCGCTGTCTGGGTCCCGGTCTGCGGCCCTTCGTCACATCTCGGCCGCCCCGACGAGCACATGGGGTCGCCCAGGGACCTGCTCACGCACTTCCTAAGCCTGCCGGGGACTAAGCCTGCCGGGGACGGGGACTCGCTTACTTGCCAAACTGGTTTCTGGAGAGATCCAGGGTTTTGAGTTGTTTGCAGGTCCATTTCTCCGGAGGTGGCAGTGTCACCAGCTGGTTTCCCTGTAACCTCAGGAACGTGAGGGCCTGGGACAGGCAGACAGAGAGAGAGGGAGGCGAAGATGCCGTGACCAGCACAAACGTTCGCGAGGCCCAGACTGAGGCGGAACCGAGGAGACAGGTCGGTTCTCTGAGGAAATGGGCCCGAGTGATTGTAACGGGTCCCGCTTCGCCGATCTCGGTGGAGTGGGCTCCAGAGAGGCTTAAAACTCACGAAATTACAGCAGGGAGCTTCGTAGGAGGGGCCTTCCCTCGAGACCCCGGGGGGAAACTATTCCAGGATGGAAGGAGGCCTCGTAAGAGTGACGACTACTGTGGGCCCGGCCTGGGAACAGTGGCCACCTCTGAAGGTCCTGGAGGCCACGGTGTCACCGTGGGAGGGGCACAGGATGAGGCCTCCTTGGGTGGGCTCAGGTGACATCCCAGAGAGGACCAGGGTGGCAGTGATGACACCGAGGTGGCCTGCCCCCATTGCTCATTATCTGCTCGCCGCGTGCCCAGGGCCAGCCATGTGGCTGTGGTGCCCTCGCTGACCGCCCGGCCCCTGGCCCTGATGTCCGCCGCTGCCTGTGGGCCCCACACGCCAACCCGGACGCTGCGGAGGAAGGCTCTACCCTCGGACTTGTGACGTCTTCCACCGAGAGGACAGGGACGGGGCCACCCGAGCCTGAGGCCATCACTGGGGACACCGACTGGCCTGTCCACGGAGGGGACGGGACAGGCCATCCCACTTTAAGCTCCTTATCCCGCACGCTCTGTCACCAACTTTGTTCAGGGGTCCACTCCCCCACCACCAGAAGCCCCCGCAGCCAGCCTGTCCGCCCAATGCCCATCGGAGGCCCCCCAACCCCCACCTGGAGGAAGGAACCCCAAAACCAGGTCGGATGCTGGGTGGTGTGAGGGGAGGGGAAACAGACCCAGGATGGGCTCACCCCGAGGGCAGAGGTCAGGGGTGGACGTGAACTGGCCAGGCGTGCCCTGCGGGTGGCCGTGACATGTGTCTACCCCCCCCTCACAGTGGACATGCTCAGGGCCCCTTCTCTGCCCAGGCGCCTATGACTTGATGGCCCTCGTCCTCGAGAACACGCATGCTGAGGGCGCCTTTTGGGGATCCCTGCACGTGGGGGGACCTCTCCAGGCTTTGGAGGGGAGCCTGTGGGGTCCCGGGGGGCCGGCATGGTGGGATTGGGGGCCATGGCCCGTGCACTCTGCCCCGATGCCCATTCTGGGGCCGGTCTGGGTGCCAGGGCCAGGTGACGAATGTGCCCCGTGCTCTGCCTCGAGGGGCCCCCATTCCTGTGTGGGGGGAGCAGAGACAGGTGCTGACCCACCACGGCGAGGAGGACCCATGGGACTCTGGAAGAGGGCCCCTTCCTGAGTTCCCGTCAGGAATTCCAGTCCTGTCCCCTCTGGGCAGGGACGCGGGGATGAGAAGCCCCGAAGGGCAGTGTCCCCGCGGCTCTGGGCTCCGCACGCCAGCAGAGCTCGGGGCTCGGGGGGCTCGGAACCAACGAGGGGCGCCGGGACCACGCTCACGAAGCTCAGTGTCGGAGCAGCGGCCCAGGCCCGGCTGCAGGTGCTCGGCACGTTCTCACCCCAACCTTCACTTACGACGGCGCCCACGTTTCCGGCAGTTGAACTTTTCTTTCGACTTTTAAAAAAATTTTTTTTTTTTTTTTTTTGGTCTCAGCAGCTCAGGAGAAGCGCCCAGATTTCACGACAGGGGCACGAGTTTCTCACGAGGGCTGAAAACGAGGGATGAGGGCGCCCTCAGACTTACGTCGAGCTGGAAAAGCCCCAGGGGGACTTCTCGGAGGGCGTTTTCTGAGAAATCCACGTCCTTGAGGTGGTTTTTCCAGAACACGGCCATTTTGTCTGGTAGACATTCCAACGCATTTTTGGGTTCTTGAATACAGTGTTCTAAGCTCTATCTTTGTATCAAGTTAGGTCATGAGAAAACAGTGTATTTAAACTTTATTAGTTTGTTACCCATAGAAATACCTTTAGTGAAATATGAGTTACTCATTTTTTAAAAAAAACAGGAACTCTTTGGTAAAGTTTCCTAGAATTTC